GGATAATGTAATCTCTTAAATTTGATTTATTAAAATCTATCCATAATATTTAGAAACTAAAGTTGTTTGAATAAGTAAATAAACTAATTAATTGAGATGGTATTCGATTAGAATATTTGCTCGAGGAAATTTATCTATAATTAATTTAATAATAAACCTTGATTCTTCATAAAAGAAGTAGAAAAAAACAATAATAATTAGTTTAAGGATAAAATTATAGTAATGACATCAATTACCTGTGAAACTTATAATTAAATTTAACAACTTTAAAAGATTGTTACAAATCATATGAATTGTATAAAAAAATGTAAAATTCAATGAAGGATATTTAATCAAAAATTAATCAAATTAATCTTAATCAAAAAGTCAACATTAAAATTTATAATATATTAATGAATCAACATCCTTCAATAATGGTAATATTTAAATGGGTATGTAAATATTGTAGGAAAAATAAAAAATAGAAGAATATATAATTTAAAAAATATTAATTGATGGCATCAGTGAATCAGAAAGAAAATGTTAACAATTAAATAATCCTTTATACAATTGTTTCATACTATTTCAAAAAGCTTACTAATCATTTAAACTTGCATGTGAAGATATTGAATATTATTCATCAATGAATGATAAACTACAAAATATGGAATAACAACAACTCTAAGAAGAAATAAAACTTTAGAAGAATATTAAATATTTTCTTTTTTAAATTAGTAATTAGCTATTTATAAATATAACACTGAAAAATTACAATTAATGAAATTGAGAAACTCCTCTTTCAAAAAGATACTGAAACTAACTGGAAAAACTTCAAATAATATTGTAAACATTCTTTGGAATCCAAAAAGAAAAAAACATTTCTAATTGTATAAGGTTTTTATTTTCCAACTAATGGAATATTTGCAAAAAACACTGTATAATGGCTATAGCAAAATACTTATTAGAAGTTCGTTTGAAGATTATATTGAGTTATTTATTGCGCTATTGAAAGCTGAGATAAAAGGAAAATAATGAAGAGGAAAATTGAAAATGGTATTAACTAATTACTATGGTATCGAAATGATTTAGATAAATTTAATTGATAAATTGTGTGTTTCTCCTTAACAGGAAATAATAATAATAATTATATTAAATGCTGTCACTTAAGGTGATATGATGAAAGAATCAAAAGAGGTAAATATGATTATTAAGAAGTTGTAAACTAAGAGCTGGAAGCTTAAGATATACATTAGAGATATCAAAATTTTTTATTTCATGTAGGCAACAAAATTTTAATTGAAACATTGATATAAGATAAAGGATAAATAAGTAAATATATTAATCAAAAATGAGATTTCTTAAAATCAGTTAATTTGAATAAATTTACATAATTGATTGAAGACGAATAAATAATAACAAAAATTCAACATTAAAAAATACTATAAAATAAAAGAATTTGCAAAAATGGATATTTTAAATATCATTATGAAATTAATTCAAAATGTATTATAAAAAATAAATATTATTAAATATAAGGAAAATTTATTAGGTTAGTTAATTAAAATAAGTAACATATGTAATTATTAGGTATTAAGTAATGATTGTTATAAGATTATGATATTATTTCTTAAACCACTATAATTGGAAATTTTTAAACTAACGATTATTGTCAACACTACTTTAATCCAATATCTTTATATTCTTAGGCTAATATTTCTTTAAATTTGATTTCAATTTTTTTAGAGATTAAAGTATTTAATGCTTCTTATATAATTTCCTTTTGTATTTAAAATCAAAAACATTTAAATAGGTTGAATCAAGTAAATTATTAAAAAGATCTAAATTTATTTTTGAAATAAATTAGAGTAGATTTTCTATTTATATTCAAATATTCTAAAGAATGCTATTTTCCAGAGTGTACTTATTATTTAAGTTTCTGAAAATTATTTTGTAATTAATTAAGTGGATGAAATCAAGGAAAGAAATACGTTATTAATATTAAGACAGCTAAGTGACCTCATAAATTGATAATTTTATTTATAAAGCCATTTCTAATCTGTAATTTTTTTCTATTTCTCATATATGATCAAGAATTTTTGCAAAAACTAAATACTTTCCAAACTTTTTGTTTCTTTTCAGATCTATTTTGGTAATTAGATTTTATTTTTGTGCTACTTATTTATCAATTACTAATTCAATTTTTAACCAGAAAAAGAAGTAAACAGTAAAGTTTTCAATTCTATACTACTCTTTTTTGTTTATATCTTATAAGATTTTGAGGTTATTACATAATTTTATCATTGCATTCTATTTAAATGGATTTAATTAGTAACTTGTTAGTGAAAAATTATTAAATAACAAAACGATATTACATGTATTTAGGATTATAAAATTTATTATTACATCTAATAGGTTGTAAGAAATATTGGTTGGATGTTATTATCCCTTAATGTATTTGAGGAATTTTGGTCTTAAATTTTATAGGTCTAAAATATTCTTATTTTGTATTTTAATAATAATAAAAATGATATTTTTCACTTTAATCCTTTTTGTTCAAAGTTGCTTTTGGAAAAACGAAGATATGACTTTATACCCAACAAATGGAGAGTATTTAGAATACTCTATGAACTAATTATTAAATATAGAGAGTGATAATAATTATTTCGAAAATAACAATTTTATTTACCATTATGAACCTAGTGTACCAAATGTTTAAATAGCAAATGCTTTTAATGAAATAGCACATATAGAAGGACAAGGTATTTTTAAAAATCATAATATTAGAATTTATATCAGTATCATCTAATCAAACTCATTTTGCAACAATAACTTAAGAAAATCATGTCATACTATATGAATGGAAAAACTTAAATTTTTAATAGTATGGATAAGTAGTTGAAATTAAAGAAAAATATAAATGTTATAATATCAATTTATTTGCTGATATATATGTCTTACTTGATTGTTATGCAGAAGAACATTTTTATTTATTATAACTAGTGAATACTAGTTTGAACATTGTTTATTCTATCTAAGCAAATAAGCCTATTAAATCATAAATGCAAGGAATTTATAATGAATCAAAAACTTTCCTAATCTATGCCTAATATTATCAAAATTTATCCATCATAACATTATTCTCATCTCAGTTTAAAAATTTAACATTTTACTAAGATTAATTTATACAGATTGCTATTCCTTTAAGAAAAAACCCATTTTTGTATATACTTTATGAATAATATATATCTCAATTTATCATTACTTAGAATCATACTTTTTTATAAAAATAACAACAGTATTTTAATGAAGAAGCAGAAGCTGAAATTTTTCAAGTATATTATAATTACTAAGTTTATTCTTCATGTGATTAATTATTGATTAATTTCTATCCTTATAATAATAGGATAATTACAAGTTAATACTTAGGATGCTAAAATAATTTTTTTACTTTATTTCAATTTAACAATATTTATTCTAATCAACCCAAATTGATTTAGTCTTTTTTGAATAATCAATTTTTAATATTTTAATCATAACAGTATCTTACATTATATAAAATATATGAATTAATGCCTTTTGCCTATACTGAAATTAAAAATAACACTTAAATATATTTTAATATATATGATAACTATCTATTTACATTTAACACAAAAATTATAGTCTATGAATTGAAAATACCATAATTATAAATTAATTTAACAGATTAATAAGTTCAAGGAATAACTTATGATATAACTATTTATGCGAAATAATATAATCTGATTTCCACCAGTATTTGTAAAATGTTCATGTCTATTACAATTCTAGATTAGAATGATACAAATATTTATGTAATGTTTAATAAAAATTTCTATCAGTATAGATCTATTAGTGACTATGAAATAGATTAATAAATCTTTGTAGGCTATTCAGGCTAGTTGCTCAAATATACTGTTAATAAAGATAATAAATAATTTGGATAATTTAGTTAAACAACATATTAGGAAAAATTGTTATACATAAATGAATAATTTTATTTGGCCTAATTGTCTTATTGTTTTATTAATAATAACTATAGAAATTTATGTCTTATCGGAGTTACAAATGAATTAATATAAATCTTTTTTTTATTAATGGATTATAATTTTTATGAATTTTTTATGGATATTAATATTCCTATTAAGGCTCAGTCATTATAAGTTGTTTCTAACGATTATGAAGATTTAATAATCGGAGTTAGTGATAATAATACAATCTACCTTTATTAAATATACGCTATTTATAATCCACCCAATTACTCCTCTTAAGAGTTTAAGTTTGAATAATAATTTTAGTAATTTTTAATTACATATAATAATTTGATAACTTTGTTTATAAATCAAGAAATTTAAATCATGAATTTGAATTCTACTGATTTAGTAATCATTAACGAAACTATAATTAATTAATTATTTAATAGGGATAGTTAGCTAAAATTTAATCCTATTCAAATAACAGTAAATAATTAGTAATTTTCTTCATGCTTATTTATCAATAATATTAATAATGTCATTATTATTTCGATTGATTAAAGTAATATACCAATTCCAATTTCAATCATAGAGGTTAAATTCTAAATTAAATAAATAAATATTGTAAATCAATAATTAGTTCTATCCTATATTTGCAATTACGGGTTTGATCTTTGTTTCTAAGTTTGGAGTATATAAAATTTTAAATATCCATTTTTTATGAGAAATATGCCTAATGTACAGAATAAGAATAATATCTAAATACTATCAGATGACTGGTTTTTTTATGTTCAATTTTAAAATTACAATTTGTATGTCTACAACCCTAAATTACCTTAACATATGAGTTTATATTATTTACTCATTTTATCATCAAAATTGATAAGCACTATTTAATATTCTTTAAAATCTATTTTGTATTTTGAAACTTATATCAATTCATTATCAACAGAGCAAAACTTTTAGTTTAAAGTAAATTAATCTCTAAATTTTTCACACTCTTACCCATAACTGATTTATAATTATACTATTACTTCTTTGGTAAATTAAACTGCTAATTAAACCACACCAAATCAAAGCTTGACGTATTTATCAAATTTCACTTATTTCTAACCAAAAACTACAATAACGGTAGATTTGTTGATATAAGATTTAAATTTAACTGATCGAACTTTTACAATTCCTGTGAATATAATCCTTGATAGACAGGCAAGTCTTTGTTATTTTCCTAAAAGTTCTGATGTTGATAAAATTGATAAAAAAGTTGATTAATTTGATTAACAATACTTTACAAATGATGAATGCAATTTAACTAATTTTGTTTACTTTACAAAAAATATTGATCTTAATTACACATAAGTAACTGCAGTAAATAACAAATTTTTTATTCTGTAAAACAACAGCGCAATAAGAATTGTTAATTAGTATTTTGAATTTCTTTAATCTTACGATTATTCTAATTTAAATTTTACTGAATGCTTGAAATCAACATCTTATAATTTAAGTTTATCATCAATATGTCAAAACGATACTGCATAATATTGGCTAAGCATTTATTTTGACTCTAATGGAATTGTTATAAATAGAAGCTTATTGTAAATAGCTTATAAATTTACTTATATATCTAAAATTAGTAATATAGCCGCTCTTAATTTTATATTGGGATCTTATAATTAAAATTCTTAAAATTTGTATTTATTGAACCCTTTAAACAATAGCATCCAGCTACTTATTAGTGATTGTCAAGATTTTTCAGTATCTTTATATAATTCTAGTTTAGATATGAATTAGTCAAATTTAGTTATTATTATATACATCTCCAATTATTATGATGTATTTTATCAATATTTATATTTTAATAAATATTCAATTACTTAAAGTAATTTTTTAGTTTTATTTTCGGATAATCTACTTTATGCTTAAATATTGATATTGCAAATAATAGACAAATAAATTTTCTTCCTTATCACTAGTACTGAAGGTTTTGGATATTTATTATTTTATAAGTTATTTTAAAACTAGTTATCTTTTTAAGATTTAATAACCACTATCCCAGCTTATGTAAATGATGATATAGTACTAGTTCCAAATTTTGTATATTCTAATGGATTTCTACTTCAATAATTTAAATAAGGAAATACCTATATTATAGGAGTTTACTACATTACTGATTTACTTATTAACAATTTAGAAGAGCCTATTTTGATGTTAGGATAATTAAACTCTACATCTTCTGAATATGCTTTAATTACAAATATAGAGGATCGAAACGCTACATGCCTTGCATTAAATAATGGATCAATTTTATATTATCCAATATATACTAGAACATTAAAATGCCATTATAGGTAAAATAGAAATGCTGTCCATGTGAATATTGCATGCTAGAATGATTTTTCAAATGGAGCTTATGAGATAACCCTTATACTTCCTGAATTAGATAAACCTTCAAAAAGATGGATATATTCATTAATTACCATAATAAGTTTCTAATTAATAGGCTTTTATATTTTGGTTAAATATAGAATGAGAAATATTGGTTATATCAATACAGAAATAGAACTTTGAAATTATTTCATTTAATATTAAATTTTATTTTAATGATCAAATCTAAAAAGATTATTAAATTATCTTAAATGATTATCAAGGTAATTAAGCTAATATTTAAAGCTTCATTTTTTTAAAGCAATATTTGAATTAAATAAATATTCTATTAATATTAATAAATATTTCATAATCTATTTTTATATTAGATATCAGATTAAATGATAAAATACATCATATGATGTTTATATTATTAAAATAAATATTTGGAAAGGTATAAAAAAGGAAAAAAGGAAATAAGTTCAGTCATAAATAGGTTTTATTATTTCCATAATTATCATTATTTAAATATTAAATAAGAATGATATAACAAATAATAATTTATAAATTATATATTAAATGTATCTTAATGTTTGATTGAAATGATATATAAAATAAAATTAATTATTTACAATGAATAAACTATTTATATTTGTAAGTCTTTTATTGTTCATAAATTGTGAAACCATAAGAAAATCTGAACCTTGTACATGTACATAGATGTTAACATAAGTTGATTGTTCAAAAAAGAAAGATTGTATTTGGGATAAGTCAAAATATTAATGTATTGATTACAAAATAGAAATGAATATATAACATGCTGCATATTGCAATCAATATTTGAACAAAGAAAATTGTAGTTCAGTTTTCTAATGCTCTTGGGATGAGGATAGATGCACTCATTTTACAGGATGTACAGCCTTTGTTTATGATACACATTAAAAATGTTAAGCTATTTCACATCGATGTATATCAGATGGATTACATTGTGTTGAAATAGGTGATTGTTAGAGCTACTTAAGTCCAATTTCTTGTATTAATAATTCAGTAGGTTAATATTGTTATTGGAATGCCTCTTAAGCTATATGTTAAGATGCAGATGAATGTTCAAAGTTACCATAAATATTAGACTCTGATTCTTAATGTCGAGCTCAAATTTCTAAATGTACAGCTTAGATTGGAGGAGGATGTGTTGAAGAAGGAAATAATTGTTATGATTAAGATGATTAAATAAACTGTGTCTATAATAAAAAAAATAACCAAATTTGTTTTTGGTTAGATGGAAAATGTTTAGATAAAATATGCAAAAATGCTCCATAGACTTTTACAACTGATAAAGAATGTCAAGATTTCCATCCATCTTGTACTACAAAATAAGAAGGTGGATGCATTGATAGATTATTATGTTCAACTTATTAAATAAAGGAAGCTTGTAAAAAAGATGCTATTGGTAATGATTGTTATTGGACAGGAAAATAATGTGTTGACAAAATATGTGAGAATGCTTTGAATACTTATAAAACAAATGAAATATGTTAAGAATACTTGGATACTTGTATAACAAATGGAAAAGGTTGTGTATTGAATTCAAATTGTGGAGCAGCCATAATTAAAGAAGCATGCAATAAAACTATGTATGGTGCACTATGTCATTGGAATGGAAATGCTTGTGTACCCAAGACATGTAAAAATGCAGGTCCTTCATATATCGGACATGATTAATGTACATAATATATGGATACATGTACTGAGTCCACAGATGAAATTACAGGATGCACAGAAAGAACTTGTGATAATGCTCCATCGTCATTTAATACTTATACATAATGTATGAATTATATATAAAATGGAAATTGTATACCTTAATTTGGAGGTGGTTGTAGAATTAATACAAAATGTGAGGATAATATGTTAAAGGAAAGTTGTGTAAGGGATGTTAATAATTAAGAATGTTTTTGGTGGAATGGCAAATGTGAATTGAAAATATGTGAAAATGCTCCATTAGAATTCAATACACATGAATTATGTAATGAATTTATGAATACTTGTACTATAGGATCTGATCAAAGATGTGTATCTCTGACTTGTGAAAATATCTAAGAAAAATCTAATTGTAAATTTGATTTGAATAATAAAACATGCATTTTTAATGAGGGTTGTTTTAAAAAATATTGTGCTTTGGCTCCAAAGTATTTACAAAAATTTAATGATTGCCAAACTTACTTATCATCATGTACAGTAGATAATTCTGGGTATGGTTGTATGGAATTACCAATTATATGCGAAGCTATAACAAGAAGTGAAGGATGTTATTTAACTGCTGGAAGAAAAGAATGTGGTTGGTATAAAGGATTATGTATAGAAAAATCTTGTTAAACAGCTCCATAAACATTATATTCAACATTTGAATGTAGTCATTATATGGTTGGATGTGTAGTTAATAATGATCTTGCAGGATGTATGAAACCACCAAATTAATGTGATTAAAGATAGCATTAATAAAATTGTCTATATGAATAATTTGAAGGACTTTAACCAAGATGTTTTTGGAGTTAACCCTCATATTTTTATGGGGTATGTAGTGATATAACATGTGAGAATGCCCATCTATACTTTGAATTACAAGTTACTTAATATGATTGTTGGGATTTTTATGGATTAAAATGTGTTTTAGATAAAACTAGAAATAGTTGTTTAGCAAGGCCAAAATATTGTTATGGATTAGGAGTTGAAGCTTGTACTTGGGATAGAGTGCTAGAAAATGATTAGAATTGTTATTGGAATGCAGAATTGAATTTATGTAGAGATTATTCATGTTCCAGCATCACTCTATAATTATATTCTCATGAATCATGTTAATAAGCTATGTAATAATGTACTGTTAATTATAATGGATGTACAGATCTATTAAATTGTTCTTAGTATGTAAGTGAATATCAGTGTGTTTTGTCTAAAGATTATAATAAATGTATTTGGTTTAATTAATAGTGTATTGATATACCTTGTAATTAAGATATTGAATCTGAAGATTTTAATTAATGTTAGAGTATTTCTAAGAATTGTGTTCCAACAACTTTAAAATGTACTCTCAAAAAATCAAAATGTGAAGATTTTAAATCGAAGAAATTTTGTGAGTAATCAACTATTGATTGGAAAATGATGTGTAGATGGAATGGTTGGAATTGTGAAAGAGTGTATAATAATTCAACATCTGATTTTGATTGTTATTCAGTTAAGGCTGATGGATTAACTTATGGATATTGCTAATTCATAAATTATAATTGTTCAGTAAATATATAAGGTAATTCATGCATTAAAGCTGATTATTGTATTTAATATAAAGAAGATCAATGTCTTTGGGGTATAGATGGAGAATGTATTTGGAATAAGAATTATTGTTAACAAAGAACTTCAGACTGTGAATATGCTAAACCACCTTATACTGCTGATACATGTAGAACTCATAATTATATTTGTACTGTAAAGATTGATGGAACTGGATGTGTTCAAATAGTTGATACTTGTTAAATCACACCTCTTGAAAATTGTATAAGGTCATGGAATGCTTATTGTTATAAAAAATAATTTGAAGACATCTGTGTATCTGCATGGGAATATCCATTATCAAATAGCGACTGTTCTTAAGTAAAAGGAAAAGGATTGACTTATGATTACTGTTATGCTATAAGTTATGGTTAATGCTCAGTTAATGCTTCTGGAACATCTTGTGTAACAATGAAACATTAATGTTCAGAGTATACTCGAGAGGAGTGTTAAACAATTTATTATGTCAATTGCATTTTTATTGAGTCATAATAATAATGTGTTGAATTTTATATTTGGAATAATTCTTGTACAGATATAAAATTATACTAGCTTGAAAGCTATTCAGATTAGTTATGTAAAGAATTTGATTTATCTTGTAATGCATATGAAGATGGATCTGGATGCTATTCAAATTAAATGCCTAGAGTTGATTGTGAAAAGGCAATCTAACCATATACATATTATAACTGTTTTATTTATTCTAGTTTATGTTCTGTTAATGCTGCAAAAACAAAATGCATTCTTGCAAAAAATACATGTGCTGAATATTAATTGGATGATTGCAATCATGCAATAGAAGAAGGTGAATGTATGATATTTTAATAATCTTGTATTTAAAAGGGGTGTAATTTTGATTATGATAATATTAAAACATAAGAGGATTGCTTAAAAATTTCAACTAATTGTAGTTACAGAGATGATGGATGCTATAATAAACGAAAGTGTAACCAATATAAAGAGAAAAAATCTTGTATAATAAATACATAAGGTGAGGATTGTTTATGGAATCCAAGTACTGGAAAATGTTTAGATAAAACATGTTAAAATGCTGAAGCTTCAGATTATTTTGATAGCCATGAGGAATGTATTAATATTGGAAAATGTACTGTTAAAGCATCTGTAAATTATACATTAGGTTAAGGATGTAGACCATTAGGGCCATGCAAATCATATGTTATCATAGAATAATGTGTAAAGAATTCTGAAAATTAAGAATGTATTTGGAATACTAATGTATCTCCAGCGTAATGTAATGATAAGTCTTGCGAGACAGCTGAATTATTCAGAGTAGATCATGAAGCATGTTAAACATATTTAAATGTCTGTACTGTAAGGGTCATAGAAATAGAAGGAATGTTTATAAGTTAAGGTTGTATTTAACTTAAAATTAGTTGTGATCAATATATACATTAAAATTAATGTAATATTGATGCATCTGGTAATATTTGTGGTTGGAATGGTGATTCATGTGAAAAGCAAAGTTGCAATACTGCACCAGAATATATAAATCTACCTTAATTATGTTAATAGTATTAAGATGGTTGTACAATACATCCATCTAATTGTGGATGTACAAGAATCCCAGATAGCTGTGAAGAGATGACTCAAAATTAATGTTATAATGGTTCAATTAATAGTAAATAATAAGAATGTTATTGGGATTAAAATTAAATAAAATGTATACTTAAAATATGTGAATTAATACCAATTTCATATTCAGAGTATGAATGTTCAAATTTTCTAGATTATTGTACAATGAGTTCTTAAAGATGTAGGAATACAATTTGTGAAGATTATTCTTTAACAACAGATCATCAATGTCGTAATATAATGTCTATGTGTACTACAAATGGTGTTTATTGTGTTAAAAGAGGTTCTTGTTTATAAGCATAATCAGAGGCAGGTTGTGTAACTGATTCTAATGGTAGATAATGTACATGGATACATAGATTAAATAAATAATCTTATTGCATTATTAAAAGTTGTGAAACAGCTCCATTATATTTAAATACTGAATAATAATGTTAAGAGTATTTCTAACCTACAATAGGATCATGCACAACTACTAAATTTGGAGGTTGTGTTCTCAAAGGAACATGTTTTGATGCTAATGTATTGAATGCATGTACAACTAGTAACATTGGAGAGATTTGTTTATGGGATGAAAATTTAAATATGTGTAGAATTAAATAATGTTAAGATTATTTTGGTACTACACATTAAGAATGTCAAAGTAAAAGATAAGAATGTACAGTTGGATTTAATTCAAAATGTGTCAACATTACATCTTGTTAAGAAACTAAATTTAAAGCTGCTTGTATTGAAGGTACTGATGGACCTTGTTTATGGATAAGTAAATATAAAAATTAAGATAATTCTCTTGGTGCTTGTTTTAGATATGATTCATGTAAAAGTTTAAAATGGAACTCACATGCTTAATGTTAAGAGATTTCTACAAAATGCACAACTGATGGAAATTAATGTGTATCAATTACAAGTTGTGAATAAACTAATTTAAATGGAGGTTGTGTAATTGGTATTGATAACAAAGGAATTTAAAAATGTATTATTGTTTCAGAATCATAAAAGAATGTTTGTAGAACATTCAATAAATGTACAGATATTCATTATTTAACACATGAAGAATGTTAATAGGCTTCTTCGTTATGTACATCTGATTATTAAAATGGTTGTATTTAATTACAACCATGTTTTAAATATAAATAGGAATAATGTCATATCAATCATATGGGAATAATTAAAGATGTTAAAGGAGAAATATCATCAACTGGAATCTGTATTTGGGATTTAAAAACATCCTAATGTCGAGATGAAGAATGCTCTGATATCATATCTACAACTCATTTAGAATGTTAATCAAGACTATCTTATTGTACAACAAATGGCTATAAATGTATTCTCAAAGAATCATGTTCATCTTATTTTTCATAGGAAATTTGTGAAAATGCAGAAGGAATTGAAGGTAAGTGTTTTTGGGAAATTAGATTAGACAAATCATTTGAATTATGTAGAAAAATGACTTGTTAAGATATACCTAATGGACATATATATTCATCATGTAGATAAATAGAAAATTGTATTTCAAATGGTATATAATGTATAAATAAGGCTAAATGTTCAGATTATAATATTAATTAAACTTGTTATTATGAAGGATTAGATGGAATTTGTGTATGGATTGAGAATGAATCATAAAATAATAAATTAAAATAATGTAAATTGATGGAGAGTTGTGAATCTGCTAAAAATGATATAAATGCATGTAAATTAGTTAAAGATAAATGTTATTGGAATTCAGATAAATTCTTATGTTAAACTCATACATGTTAAACTTATTCTACTTAAGTAGGAAGTTGTAAGAACTTTAATACATGGGATAATAAACAAATTCATTTATGTCACTATCATGAATAATAATGTGTTACAATTAATATTAACACTCTTAAATAAGTAGATTGTTATATAAAGACAGCTAAGCTTCATCGATGGGATCCAAATAAAAGTTCATGTGCTTCATGTGAAAAATCTGTTAGATTAATAACTGAATTTAGTGATATTCTTGGAATATTAATAATATTATTGTTTTTGAGCTATTGAACTATTTACAAGTAGTAAATATATAAATTTTAACAAAACTTATTTTTTATTAAGTTAATTCTATGTATTAGATTTTTTTGCCTTTCTGCATTAAAAGCAAGCATTTTAAATAAAATATCCTGAACAGTCCTCTAAGTGATTACAACAGAATATATCACCATATTCACTAATAAATGAAGGTTATCCACATTTTTTATGATACCAAATTTTTGGTAAACTAGATTGACAAACACAATCTTATGGGCATTAAAATATCAAAGGTAAAACCATTCCCCTATTAACTCCTCCTTTTGGTAAACTATCAAAATTCATGTTAATGCACAATAATATAAAAATACTTATGCAACATTTGATTAGTTCTAAATAAATACAAAAAAATTATTCTATTGCATTATTTTAATTTATTCTATTTTAGTTGAGAGTAATTTAATTTTTAATTTTGATTCTTTTGATATTTTTAATAAAGATGATTCTAGCATAAAGAATAGCAAGCTTTCATATTTTGGAATTATTAGACCAAAGAATCAAAATATTTAATTTTGAATTATTAAAAAGTATTAAGGAATACAATAAGATTCATTATAAAATTGTCAATAAAAGATTCGTTAATTCATCGAATTTTTCAATTAAAATAATAAAATTTTATTAATATTGAGATGAGAAAACTATAGATAACAATAGAATAATTCAATAATTATATATATTTTTTTTATAATGATTTTATTATAAAATAATGAATATAAATATCAATATTAAGCTTTCTTAGTTTATACTATTTTTATCATTGTTTATTAGGTTAAATTTAAAAATTAGGATGATTTCAATTATTATAATTATTTTCCATCAAATGAAAATATGGAATTTATACCTCCTTATGCATAATTATTAACAATCATTTAACATAGTTATTTTGAACCAAAAGTATTATATTATATCTTTTATGAAGCTTATTTAGCTTAATTTAAATCTTAAATAATTCCAGTACATTTCTAAATTACTTTATTATTAGTTTTCTATATTTGTATCATCATATTATCTAATAATCTTTAAGCTTCTACAAAATTATTTTAATCACAAGCTTATTTTGCATTATCAATAGTTTCTGTACCTTTTACTCTTAAATATTAAGAATAAACATCAGTACATTCTTCAATAACATCTACATTTTCATCCTAATTAAATAGAGTTAAATTAAGTGTAGCAGATTTTTTAATAATTTCTCCGTTTATAGGATCTTTCATACTTAAACTGGCTTCTAGTACTTTTACAACTCTTTCATGATCTAAGATTTTAGAATCAATTTAAGGTATTTAAATTTCAAATACAAAATCTTTTCTCGTACCAGATGCTAATTAAGGTATATTTATATCATATATATGTCCTCTTTATTTCCACATATTACCATAAGTCTTTGAAATCTATAAATCTTACATAGGTTTTATGGAGGTTGAAGATATATTTATTTATATTTATTCTGCAATTACAGAAACTATTTCTCCTAAAGCATGGGCAAAATATTCATCTAGTAATGTGATATCCTTAACAAAATAAAAGTATCCATTTTTTAATTTACAAATGGATGTCATCAATTATGCATCATGATCTTCACCAAATCCAAAAGTATATAATGTAAAAACTTCTTTTGTATACTTAATTTAATTGGATATCTCAAACAATGCTTCTCTATCTTGTCCATCTGATAATAAAAATATAGAGCTAACATTATTTCTATATAATTTATCATCTAATTATTTAAATGCTATATGAGTAGCACTAGAAATTTTAGTCAATCCTCTAGGTTGGATTTATGAAATAATTGATTGAAAATATTGTTTATTTTTCTCTGTTAAACATTTTAAAGGAGTTAATCTTTAAGCTTATTCATTAAAAGTAATGATTTATAGTCGATCTTATTCACCTAAAAAATCAAGCAAAAGTATTAATGTCTTTTTAACCATTTTTATTTTTTCTCCTCTCATACTTCCACTTTTGTCAATTAAGCAAATCTAGTGTAAATGAATATATTTACTAAATCAACACCTATACTTCTTTCATTTAATCCTGTTTAATTTTCTTTTGTTTTAATACTTATCATCCCTGGAAGATACTATGATTATTAATTTGATAATTTGCAAATAGATCTTAAAGATCTAATTTCAAAAACAATAGAAGATAGTAAATCATATGATTTTTAGTTTCGCTATTAAGTATTTTATTTTTGGATTAATTATTCATCATCATTATATTTTAATTTCATATCTAAATATTCATTATTGTTTTTTATTTATGGAGATAATACTTAAAAATAATGATTGATTTTATCTGCAAATTTGATGCCCTATTCTTTTATTTTATTAAGAACTCCATTATTTTATTCAACTTCTTATAAATAATTTTTTAATTTTGGAAGAGTATTTTATTTATTATCCTAAGAATATGGCTTATTTCTTTAAGGATATATTATTTGATATTAATTTGCATTTTTATCCTGTTAATACTACATTCTATCTTTAAATAAATTATGATTTTTAAATTCATTTTGAATCATTTTTTATTGAAATATATTTGATTAGAAATTGTTTATGGAATTTTCTATCACTTCTCTACTATTTGGTTTTAGGAATTTTCTATGCTTTTATTATAGTTAATCTTGGATATTATTCATTAAAAAAGTTGCTAATGTATTTAAATATAGGGAAATTGATAAATTTATTACTTTTAATATTTAGATCTGTTGATTTCTGATCATATTATAATATATATTATAAAATATAAAGATTTATTTGAAATTTCAGTATAATTTAAATTTATGGAAAAGATAATCAAATTGATTAAAATTTATTTGAATAAAATTAATAAAGAAGAATATTATGATTTAATCCATTTAACAGATTGGTTATTTAGTAAAATTATTAATATAAAAATCCAATAAGTAAGAATTTTAGAATTTAATCTTTAAGTTTATTATGAATTTACAAAACTACAATTCTTAATTATTATTTGATAACATAAATATCATAAATTATATTTTAACTTTCTTCCTAAATATCTCCCAGAATCTGATAGACGAAAATATATTAATGCTTTTCTTAGTGATTTCAATTTAGTTAATGATTCACCTAATGATTTAATTAAATAAAAACATTTAGTTGCATATAATCTTGAATCATCACATTTTTTTAATCCTTAATCAATTTAATTTATTGATTCTATAATATTTTTCTCATGTTTTAAATCCTCAGCTATTTATTATAATATATATTACCAAGCATCATATAAAACTCAGGATCATTCTCATTATTTTCAATACCTTACTCTCTACAAGTTAGAGCTTCTTTTATTCTTCCCAATCTTTTTAACAATCTAACTTAAATAATCAGAATCTTATTTACTTTTTTCGTTATAAAATTCTAAAATATGAGGATTATTTGATAATCCTAAATCCCAACATTTAAGAGCTTTTTCAGCATTTTCTGATAATTTTAATGGGGAATCTAAATATAAATTGTAAAATACTCTCTTCATTATCTGATAATTAATTATGAGAATTATTGGAATCTTCTCTACCTGATACCCAACTTTCATCAGCTTCTTCAAACTTTTCAAATTTCATTAAAGCATAACCTAAAAATAAATTACAATTTACATTTTTCTTTATAAAATTCTACATTATTAGGGTTAATTTATATTCCTTTATCCCAACATTCAAGCATTTCTTCATTTCTTTCTAACATTTCTAAAGTTTAAGCTATATTGATATTATTAATATTTCTACCTTTTTAATAATAAAACTTTTCATTTTAATTATTATTTTGAATTCCGTAATCCCATAATTAGAGAGCTTCTTCATATCTTTTTAATTTCCATAAAATATTAACTAATAATATAAATTCTATTTACATTTATGCTGATAAAAACTTATACAATCTTTTTTAATTTCTATTCCACGTTACCAACATTCTAGTTATTCTTCTACTCTATCTAAATTATCTAATTCACAAGCTAAAAATCATTTTATGACTTAAATGCCTTTTTTATAATAAAAATCAAAATTATCAGGATTATTTTAGATACCAAGTTCTCGACATTCAATACAATCTTAATTTCTTCCTAAGTGTTTTAATATTCTACCTAATTATATAGAACTCTTTATTACATTTATAATCATAGAAATTTATATTCTATTTATTCTAACTTATTCCATAATCTAAACAATTAATAACTTATTATTATTCTCCTAATTCAATTAATGCATTAACTAATATAATAAATATTGATAAAACAACCTTTTTTAGCATAGAATGTAATTTAATTAGGATTTTATTCAATTCCAAATTACATACAATCAACTACTTCTTAAATTCTATTCAATTTTGTTAGAAGAATTGCTAATTTGATATAAAATTACAATAAGATTCATAAAATTTCACACATTTCTAATTTTTCTAGATACCAAATTTCCAACAATCAATAGCTTCTTAATTCTTACCTTATGATTCTAAATACATTGCTATTATTATTTAAGCATTATCAATACATTTTGCATAATAAAAATCTATGTTATCAATATTATTCATAATTCCCCAATCAAAACATTATATTATTTCTATATCCTTACCCAACTTTTTTAAAATATTAGCTAATTGTAATTATCTTTATTTACTATATTCAATATATTCTCTTATACTACTTGAACAAAGAAGTTTTTTTTTTATTATCCAATCTTATTCATCACATTTATTAACAACTACTAAATGATAACCCTAAACTTATACTTTCAAATTTATAACTTGAAATTTAAGGAATTCCATCGTCAACCAAACTACAATTATTGTTTAAATGCATCCATTTATTTATGCATTCAATAATCTCAATATCTCTACCCAATTTCTTTAAAGTATTTACTTTATAAATTTATTTAATACTTTTTGCCTTATAAAATAAGATGTTATTTTTATTATTTTCAATTCCGAAATCCCAGCATTTAATTATTTCTTCATATTCATCATTTCTCATTAAAATAGCAGCTAAATCTAATTTTACAATTACTTTTTTATTCATAGAACCTTATATCTTCTAAATTTTCTAATATTTTCTAATTCCATTAATTAAGTGCTTCCTTAATTTCACCTCTCTTTTCTAACTGTTTACCTATTTGTTTGATCTTCATTTAATACTTTTTAAAATTAGATTAGTGTAGATTTGTTCATTAATAAATCTTGAAGGATACATAACTTGAAATCTTAAAAGTTAATGAAATTTAATAAATTTTATTATACAAATATTAATATATATATGTATAACACGAAATTTATTTTTAGATTATCATAAATTCTAAAATATCTTTCATATAAATATACTTTATTCATTCAATTTCAAAAATAAATTAAATTGATTTTTAAAGATACTATTTAAATCTTAAGTTTCTTATTATTTCACAACTATGGTGATAACTATAAACTTAGAAGATCTTAGACTATAATTATATATTATTGTTCTTAGTTTAAATAGCATCTTTTAAATTAATAGAAAATAATTAATTAGATCATAATGTTTTTATAATTGTTTCAATTTAGATAAGACGTTAAGTTTACAGATTATATTTAATTTAGTTTCTGAAAATTAAGATTAGTACATTTATTATAACTTATTAATTAGTATATAAAATGTAGATGAATTTTTTAGTTAAATAGATATAGGATAATAGATAGATAATTTATTAAGATTAATTAAATTAGAGAGAACTTTAGAATATTTTAATTATAAAAATATTGTAGGATATTATATTATATCTCTTAATGTTTCAATCATAAAAGATTAGATGTAATTTAATCTAATTATTTTAAATAATTCCATTAATTTCAAATAGAAAATGATATTAAATGAGTTATTATTATTGCTACTTCTATTTTAATATATAAAAATATATAACAAAGATTCTCTGATACAAACTGATTGTTTTATATTATAAAATTTAATACATAAATTTTAATTCCGGTGTTCCCTTTTTTAAAAATTAATATCTTAATAAAACATGTTCAAAGTCTAATTTGATACAATATCAGAGTTCGAACACGATTAAAACAATAGTTTTTAGGATGAAGAATCCAATATCAACATCTTCACTTAACATTAACTTGGCTTATTCAAAAAACCAAGTTACTTGATTGAAAATGAAGACATTAATCTAAATAATAACTATGAATGCTCAACAGTAGAGTAGACTGAATCTTCTGAACATTCTGATAACTCTTTTGAGCATATTCCAATAGCAAAATTTCCTTCAAAAAAACTTGCTCCTCCAATGAATGCTGATTAACATTTGTTTAACTTAGATATGAAATACTATCCAAGTACTTCTCAGGAGAATTTTATTTTGAATTTTATTAACAAAGATGACTTACAAAGAATAAAAATAGGTTTAGATTATAAGATATTGGATGATCCATAAACTTTAAAATTCGAAAATTGGGTTTAATAATTGTGTAATACTAAAGCCAATTAAAAAGAGATGTAAAGGAAATTGAAAGTAAAGAAATATTTAGAGAAGAAACATAGTAGAACTTTTGGGAAAAAAGTGCATTATCATATTAGATAAAAGGTAGCAGAAGAGAGATTAAGAATAAAGGGGAGATTTGTTACTTGGAAATAGGTACTATATAAATATATATAATGTAGGCTGTAAAAATGTTAGAGAAATCTGATACTAAGAGAGAATGGACTCATAGTGATTATTTCAAAATAAAGATTTTGTTAAATGAAAAGTATGGTTAATGAGAATAGATATAAAGATTTTTGATTTTCACTTAATTTGTTTATATATTTTTTATGATCATTATAGAATTAATAATAAATGGAGAGTATTATTATTGAATATATAATTTAAATAGTTTAAAGAACTTAAGAATAATGATACAATAAAAATGATTAAAAATATAGTATAATTATGTTTATGATCATATCTATTTAGTATGTAAATAATAATTGTTTTATAATAAAATAAAATGAACTCAAATCCTCCTCCAGTTATCATTTTATATAAATAGAGTCTCAATGTAATTAAATGTATCTTACTTAAAAGGATCCAGACAAAAAGAATTTTAGTAAATTATGGCAATAAGAACCAATTGAAGTTAAAGAAGTATTAAATAATTATAATGAATGATTAGTTTTTTTCAAATTTATTTTAAGCATTGAAATATTCAAAAGATGGTGGTATGGCACATACAATTTTTGAATTGGAGACTAATGATTCACATTCTGAGATTTCAGAGATAAATTGGAAAAATTAAGGATTTATTAGTGAATAAAGTAATTCTATGATAGAATTACTTAATATTTTAGAAATAGAGAAATTACCAATACAATCTGCATTTTTAGAGAATAATTCAATAAATTAAATAGCGTATATTATAAATATTATTATAGATAATTATGTGAAAGAATGAAAACTCTAAATATCAATTAAGAATTAAGTAACAGAATAAATGATAGTTTTCTCAAGATTTCAAAACTTCGTAAATGAAAAATAAATATTAATTTTTGATACTACAAATATATATATTTAATATATTTAATATTAATTAATGTCCTCATATCAAAGCAATGATCCATATGATTTGTAATTTATCATTAATAATTTAGTTTACACTATTGTAATGATCAAGATTAATAGATTTATGATTAAAATAAATTATTCATAGAAAATCTTGTAATTTATGATGTTAAATATTAAGTAAATTATACAAATTATTCATTATAGATTCATCATCATAAAACAGTCTTATAAATATTCAATGAATAAAATTAAATACTTAAAACATTATGGGGTAATATATATCTTAACATTATATTAGGTTTATAAGATGTTTAATTTCCCACTTAATAAAATTTGGATTAAATAATCAAAGATTCCATTGAAACTAATTTAATTGTAAGATAATCATAACTAAATAAGTAAACTGTATATAGTCAGACTTATCCAGGAGGTTAATTATTTAAAATTGGATATTAAAAAGAAATTGATGCTTGGTTAATATATTCAAACAATCTCACTATTGTTGCTTAAACATCTGATGATTTATCTGAATTTTCATTTTAAAGATTTGATTCAGCAGTATAAGTAGGTGAATTATGGTTTAATATTTTGAATGAATGTAAATTAATTATATTTATTCTAGTCAGTCAAGAAAAAATTAATAATTTGAAATTTGATTTTCATAATAGAACTGTATATGGTCATATTATAAATTAAGAATCTTTGATTTATCATTCTGATGATATTCTATAATTTATTGGTATTGTTGATGTTAATTTTGAATAATCTCAATAATTATTTTGTTTTTATGGATTACCTCATCCAAAAACAGCTTAATTTAAATTGCAATTAAAATTACTCTAAAAACATATAGAGAGAATTTAAAGAAGTGATATTGAATTAGAATCAGCAGGAGTTATATTATATTTTAATGATCAATATTATGTTATACATACAGTTGAGTATTTAATTTATAAACACATTTAATCTATGTTATTGAATGAATAACATATTGAAAGAGATTTTAAATAATTTGTTAAATCTTTATAAATTAAACCACCTAGACCATTTAAATTTTACTAAAATATATATGAATAAGGTATTAAAATATTAGAATCTAATAATAAAATTGAACAAACCATTAAATATAATTTTAATGATTTCATTACTATTATATTATACAACATATTTAATAATAAGACATTCAAATAGAATTAATTAAAATCTATTAAAGAATATAGAGTCTTATGGTCAACCTATCAACCAGAATCTTTAACAAGAATACCAGTATATACAGGTGAAAATCAATAAAAGAATCCAGAAAATGTATATTTAATTATACCTTTATGTATTAATGGAGTTGGTGTCTCAACATTTGCAAGAACTTTTCAATCATTTTATTATCAAACATAAATTGTCAGTGATCTTTAAGATGCTAAAATTAAAGATAATTATGTTATTATATTAGAACATAATCATACTCCAGAAGAAGCATAATCTATTATATCAAAATGTAGTTAATTTTACAACAAAATCATTCTGTATCCATATACCAAAAAGTCTTATAATGAATTAAAAATACCATTTTCATATGAATTACTTATTACAGCTATGAAAAGAACTTGTGCTTCTCTTGAAAAAGTTTAATCTTTTGTTAAAAAGGCTAAAACTTTTGAGAATTTTAAAATAAATTCTCTATAAGTAAATGGAATAATAGAATTTCCATTTGTTGATGAAGATATTAAAATTGATCATGAATATATTGAAGATGATTTATTGGATATATTTCATAATGATTCAAAAAAAAACTTAAATCAATTCTTTAAAAGTCTGAAAGAAGTTCATCTGTAAAATTAAAATAATGATATTTTTGATGAAGAAATCAAGAATATTATTCATTAATTATTTCCTAAAGTCACAAAAATAACTAAACATTAACCAATAAAAGTAGATGATGTAGTGAGAAAGTAAAGTGAAGATGTTGTTGTTAATGAAAAGAAAAATAAATTACAAAAAAAAGAAAAACATATATAATATGATCCAACTTATTTACCTAATACACTTAGTTTCTAACTCAAAGGAGGATACAATATGAAAGATAAAATAAATAAATGGATTTTAGATTGTTTAGTAAATAAATATATTTAATTATCTTTTAGAATGCAGGTAAATCACATTTTAAAAATGATGAAACTTATCATAAAATTGTAAACATATTTTAAAAATAAACTTTTGAAAATGATGAATAACATTTCATTCCAGAAAAAGAACTTAAATTAGAATTATTATCTATTAATTAAAATGATGTAAGTGTTAGATAATTACCTTATTTCAAAGATTTTGTATAAGATAAAGAAGCTGAAATATTTATAAAAACATTATTTATTAGTTTTGATGGTTTAATTGCTGCTCTTGCTCATTAAACATCATTACCATGCTAAAGTCCTTATCCCCATATATCATTTTATTTCAAAAATCTAAAAGTGAGAGACAGTCTATCTGTCATTTCATAAACCATTCTATAAAATTAAATTCTGAAATAAGCATTCAAAGATGGATAACTCTCCAAAATTACAAATTAAACATTTTTTGCTTCTGAAGATATTTAATATAGAAATAAGACTTATAGAATTTATGTAATTTCATTGTAAGATGGCATTAAAGTTAATGCTATCTCTACAGATAGATTATGATATGAGTATTATAAAAAATACATAAATATATCTTATTATTTATCTATTTTAATAAATCATTAGGCTGGTTTTTCACCTTAAGCTTATTCTTGAGGTTTTTCACCTTCCTAATTTTATTGATTATTTGCAGCTTCTTCTGCTTTCTTTTTTTCTTCTTCAGCTTTAATTTTATCTTCTTCTTCTTTTTTCAATCTATCTTCTTCAGCTTTCTTAGCAGCTTCTTCTTCTGCAATTCTCTTATTTTCTGCTTCTATTCTTTCTCTTTCTTATCTTTCTTTTTCTTCTTTTTCTTCTTATTCTTTTCTTTTTCTTTCATTTTCTTCTCTAATAGCTTCTTATCTTGCAAATTCTTCTTCTTTCATTTTAATATAAGCTTAAAATGTTGGTTTTGATTTTTTTTCAATAGGTTTCTCTTATTTTTTTTCTTTGGTTGTAGCATAACCTTTAACATCTTTACCATTTTATAAATCATCAAGAAATCTTTTAATTCTTTCTACTGTAGGTGCAACACATGGAAATAAACCAGAATTCTTTTTAGAGTATATTATTTTATCTACTTTATAAATGAATTTATTACTTTAATGAGTGATTTCAAATGCTCCAATAGATGGTTTCTAAATTGAATGGTTAACTACACAAAATGAATTTGGAATAGCAGCTTCAACAGCTAGATAATAATATAATAACATAAGTTACCTTCTTTAAACTCATGATATAATTTTGCATATCTAAGTTCATCATGTTATGTACAAAACGAATGTGATTTTTAACAATTAATGCAAACTTCAAAATGAATCACAATTGCATTTGGTGGAATTGGTTTATTAGATAAATCTAAATAATTTTTGGCAGGAGGCTTTTCTTACTGTTTGGGTTGTTACTACTGTTACTATTCTTCTTTTGGCTTTTCTTCTCCTTCTTCTTTTGGTTTCTAGTGATGAATTAAATGGATACTTCTTCAGGAGGTTGCATTTTTTATTATTTAATTTATTTATTTCTAGATGTTTTAGAATATTTAAATAGTTATAGTAATTAATTATAATTAAATATATATGGCAGACGAAGAGGTTTGTTAAAATATTGCACTTGGAGATGTAAGAGTATCATTTATATTAAAGTGTTCAAATAATGATGTTCAACTAAGGGATGCTTTGAATAGTTATCCCTCTTACTAAAATCTCTTTAAATTATATAATGAGAAATATTTAAAACTTGCTAAATTTTTGGAAGATGATAATATTGATTAAGAAGTAAAGAAGATATAGGATGAAGGAGAGTTTAACTCAGAGGATGAATATTATGAAGCAATCTAAAAACTTGAAAATAATATAAAAGAGATTAATGATATTCCAGAATAAAAATAAATATTCAATATAAAAATAGCTTAATCATTAATTGATGAATATTTTAAACAATTGAAAAATTGTAAACATTAATTATTTGGTTTGATTTATAGTAGTAATAAGAATAATGAGAATATCGGTCATTTTTTGATAATGAAAAATCAATAATCAGAATCAATTTTAAGTAAATGATTATAATAGAATTAATATTTTTAGATGTCTAATCAGAAAATGAAGTAACTAAAACATTTAAAGAAAACGAGTTAACTAAATTATGTGCAATATTAGGATGTGATGAATTCTTTAACGAAGAAAGATAGAAACAAGTATCTTCTTTAAGTTTAAAAACATAATTATACTTGTTGAAATTTAATAATTTAACAGGGTTGATAAGTTGTTAGAATTACGTAAATGGAGAGGCATCATAGATAAAAATATAGGATATAACAGTAAAACATTTTGAAGGAGTGAGATAATATTGGATAAAGTAATGAGTTTAATAATTACAGTATGTAATTTTAATTTAATTATCAAAACAATTTTGTATGAAATCCTGTGCTATTTCTTAATTATTAATCGGCATTATAGTATTGTTTAATAAATTTAGTTATTTGAGCAGATGCATCAAATTCTGCTAATAAATTCTTACTTATAGATGATCTAGTAACATTTAATTTTCTTATCATATTTGGTTTTTCTGTTTTGAGTTTTCGATCTGGACTATTTTGTATAGATTGACTTTGAGAATAATATTACTTAATTTTAGCAGGTTCTGGAGGAGTGTTATTTCTTCTTATGATTGTGCCTTGAATATCTTTTTTGAAATTAAAGAATTATAATTATTCTTTAGCTTATAAAATAATTTTCGAGTTTTCTAATAGGAGTGTGTTTGATAAATTGCGTAAAGAATGTACTTCTTTAAGGATAGATTTTAATTTGAATTTAATGGCTGAGGATATTTGAGGAGTATTAATTTTGCCTTCTGATGCTATAATTCTAAGATGTTCACTTTCTATTGCATAAGTTTATAGTTATGTTTAAAAGAGTACTAGCTTATCTTTTAATCTATGAATTTTATCTTAAGCTTTCTTTTTTAGAGCTTCATATTATTGACGATAATTATCTTTGTCTTCTTTTTTTTATCTATTTAATTCTTCATATTTAGTCCGTTAATCTATTAATTTCTATTAGAGTTCTGATTTCTATAATTCAATTTGTTGATTGCATGCTTTGAGGATAAGAAACTCGGTATTGAGTTCATCATAACGGTGTTTCCATTAATCATGTTATACATCGTGAAATTCATCAATATTTGATTATCTAGTATGATTAGCTATTTTACTTGTACTTTGCACAATTATTACAATACTTACCTATAGATTCTTTCATTTCATATTCTAGTTGTTTAATTTCTATAAAGAAAGACTCCATTACATGTTTCAATTCTAATTCAAGTCCTTCAGATGGCTCAAACTCTTTTGAAATGATCCTCATTAATTACTAAGTGAATTATTATTGTTGTATCAGAATCCCTTACATTTAATTAGGTTTAATATATTTTAATTTATATTTGTTAATCATGAATTATTTTGCAATAATCTTTTCTTTATTTACATAAACAAAAATACAGTTTTATTTTTATTAATAATGAATACATAAGAAAGATTAGATTAAATATCAGGACAAGTAGATTCTTTAAGTAGAAAATACGGTGAGAGAAGTATATCCCCTAGTCAAGATTCTTAAAGAAGAAATAGTAACTATTCAATTATATATAAAAGAGCGTCAAATAAAAAGTGGTGGTCAATCTCTTAAATCATTCAATTTGAAACCTCAATCACAAAACTTTCTAAAAACATCCAAAGAAACATCAGGAGGAGGATTCTATTAGAGATCTTAAATAATGGGTACTTCATTTCCTTAAATACGTACAAGAGATAAATAGAAGTAGTATTTGTAAATAATTAAAGTAATGAATCAAAATAAGTGAATGCTAAGAAAGAAGAAAGTCTTAGTTTGGTTTAATTAGATTCAATAATAGGGATTAAATCTCTATTAGGACCTAATCATCATTGTCATTTTGAAATATAAGTTAAACATCTAATTTCTAAATTGGTAAGATATGTTTATTTAACAATTTAAGGAAGCCAGTGAATAATTAACAATAAAAGCTAAAGATGAATTGGAGAATGTTATTTGGATGGTTAAGAATTATAATAGTGAAGGTTTAATATCAAAATTATTATCTTTATAATAATTAAAAAATGAATTAGAGAAGGATTAATTATAAATGAGAGAGGAAATAGAAATGTTAGGAATGTAAAGAGATGATTGGTAATCTAAATATTAGGAAATATATGAAAAATTATTAAAAATGTAAGGTATTGAAAATGATCTTCATGATGCATTACATAAATTATAAATGTCAAATGAATCATTAGAATAAATAAATAGAAGATTAAGAGAGAAATAATTAGAAGTATAAGATTGGTAAAGAAAATGTAATACACATGATGAATAATTTAAAATTAGAATTACTAAATTGGAAGAAACATTAAAAGAAAAAGAAACATAAATTTAATAATTATAAAAGAAATTATAACGATTAGATAGTGAAAGTGCATTTTTATAATAAGAGATGAGAAATAAAACAGAAAAATTAGAAGAAGAATAAAGAAGATCAAAATAATTACATGCTGAATTATTAGATACTAGAGTTAATAAAGTATAAAATTTATAAGATGAAATTGCAAAATAAAAGAAAGTAATTTAATAAAGAGTAGAAGAAATAGAAGAATAAGAAAAAAAAAATAAATTATTAAATGTAAATTATTATTAATATTATTATTATAGAATAAACTTAATTTATTAGAAACTTAATTAAAGAATTTTGATGATGTAGCTAGATAAGAAAAAGAAGAATTAGAAAAAGGATGGTAAAAGAAATATAAAGAATTAGAAAAATAAAGTGTTTAATATAAAAGAGATTTGAATTAATTAGAAATACAATTATAATAAGTTGATTTATTAGTTTAATAGAAAGAACATGAAGTAGAATAGGCAGTAGCTAAAATTAAAGAATTATCAGAATTAAATGAAAGATAGTTATAAACTTTATAAGCAAATTCTATTGAAATACTTAGATTGAATTAGGAAGTTTAAGAAAAAGATTAAGATTTAGAATATGCAGAATAATAAAATGAAGAAATATCAAAAGAACGTACTTAATTAATGGATAAAATTGGTGAATAAAATAATGAAATATCTGATCTTAAATAATAAGCATTTTAAATGAAAAAAGAATTAGAAGGTTTAAAATGGGAAAAATAAGATTAAGATAGAAAATTGGATAGATTAAATGAATAAATTGCATAAGCTAATTAAAGTTCAGATTAATTTAGATTATAATTAGATGAAGAAATTAAAAAAACATTTTCATTATATTCTGAAATTAATAAATTAAAATAAGATATTGAAGATTTAAAAATTTAACATTAAAAGGAAATTTAATAATAATAGAAGATTATTGAAGGTAAAGATGAAGAAATAAAGAAATTGCATGATAAATTATAAGAATTTTAAGATTAAGATAAAGATTTATCTGATAAATTAAAAAAATTAATGAATGATAATGAAAATTATTAAAAATAAATTTAATAATTATAAAATGAAAAATTAGAATTGGAATAATAAATTTAAGAATTAAAGAAAATAATTTCTTAATATGAATAATAAACTATTGAATTTTAAAAGGAAAAATAATAATTATTATAAAAAATAGAAGATATTTAAAATGATAAAACTGAAGTCTAATTATTAAATACAGAAATTGAAAAATTAAAATTAGATTTAGAATCAAAAAAAAATTATGATGAATTAAAAGATATAGCTAATTAAATTAATACAGTTTATGAAGAAAAAGTTTAATTAGAAAAATAAAATAATGAATTACAAATTTAATTAAATAAAACAATTGAAGAACTTAAAGAATGGAAAAATAAATTTGCTAAATTAGAAATGGATAAAAAAAATAGTGATAATTAATATAATTAATTTAAAGATAGATAAGAATAATAATAAGATATTTATTTAACATAAATAAAAGGATTGGAAAAAAAGAATCTTTAACTTGATGAAGAATTATAAAAATGTTTAGACAAAATAGAAATTTTAGAAGAAGCTCTTTAAAATTAAAGTAAAGACATTAAAATCATTCCAAAATAAGCTTAAATTCCATTACATAGAAATAATACATTTTAACAAATCTTTGTTGAAGATAAGGTATTTTCTAAAGATTCTACAAATGAAGAAATATAATTGAAATTTTCAGATATTGATTTTAGTAGATCTAAAGGACATCTTACAATATGTTTTTGGGTTAAAATTGATAGAACAAATTCTAAAGAAATGCTTCCTATATTAAAAATTAGTACTGAAAATAAAAAACTTTTAGAAATGGGTGTTTATTTAGATAGCAAATAAGTATATAGTACATTTATTCCTAATAATCATCCAAAAAATACTAAATAATAAAATCCATTAACAGTTACATCTTAATTACCAATAAAATTAGGAGAATTTTAATTATTAGCACTTATTTTAAATGAATCTGGTTAATATATGGATATGGGTTTATGTTTAAATGGAGTTAGAGATGATTAAGTTTCAATTTCAACATCATTAATTTTTCCAGAAGCTTAATTATCATTTGGAAAATACACAACTCATCATTTAGTATTAAAGGATTGTTTAGTAATTACAGAGAATTTATAAAGAATCAATATATTTAAAGAAGTATATTAGACATTTTAATAAAAATATAATGGAGTTAAGAAAATGAGTAGAAGATATGGATAAAAGAAAGAAAATATATCTTATTTATCTGCAGGAGATTTAATATTCTTTTTAATTTAACAACATGAATAATCTCCTCCAAAATCAGGAAGTAGATCTAAATCTCCTCCTCCAACATAAGCAGTAATTATTAATAATAGAACTATTCCAGCAGGATTAGTTAATTAATATGAATTAGCAAATACTTAAACAAAAACTGAAGAAACTAAACCAGAAGAAATTTAAGAGTAACCTTAATGGAGTAGAAAATATTCAGTAGATAAACTCAAAAAGTTTTTATATACTAATTTTAATTATAAAAGATTATTAAGTCCATTTATTGAAAATTATGATTATATTAGTTTAGGATTATAATTATTATAACCACCAAGAAATGATGAATAACCTCCTACTAAATTTCATAAAATAATCAAACCTAAAATTCAATTATCTCCATATTATATGATGCCTTATAAACAATTTCTTAAATATATATAATTTGTAGGATTATTAAGAGTAACATTAGAAGAATTACATGATTTATGTGAATTAATGGAAGTCATCTATACAAGTGATAAAGAACAATATATTCATTATGATCACTTTCTGATTGTTTTAAGAGAATGTATTATGCCTAGAGGTGATTTAAAGAAGAGGAAAGATTAAGAAAAAGGTGAACCATAACCACCATAAATAATTGAATCATATAGATATACTTATAAAGAAATAATCATAAAATCAACAGGTACAGAAGAATAAGAAGTTGAATTATCAAATGCTGTTGAAATAACAGAAATTTCAATAATAACAAATGAATAAGAAATTCAATTAGAAGTCAAATAAAAAAATGAATCTATATAAACCTTCCCTCTTGAATTTTTACCAACAGCATTTGTAGGTACATTAAATTTAAGCAATTAAAGAAAGATAAGTTTTATTTTTTCTAATGATTCATAAATAAATGAAATCAAAACAGAAACAAATTCTTTATTATTGAGTGAATAAAGTGAAATAACATTAAGTCATGAAGTAGAATTATAAGAAAATGAAAAAATAGTCAAATTTAATATATAAGATAAATAAATAAGAATTGTGATATAAACTTCTAAGAAAATAGTTGAAGAAATTCCTGTAATAATATTATTATTTATTATATTAGCCACTTGAAATGGATCCAGAAACAGAATTGGAAACTTTAAGTTTACCTTAAGTTCCTGATAATTGGAATTTAGGCAAATTCTATATCAATATTACAAGATGTTAAAATTGTGATAAACATTAATAAACAACTAGACATTAAGAGAAAGATTTTATTGAAAAAACAGAATATGTAACAAATCTTCTCAAAGAATTATTTCCTAATGTTGAAATCATTGAAAATGAAGATAAGACTGATAAATTAGAAAACTTTGAGGTTTATATTAAAAATGCTATTGGTCCTGAAAAGATTATGCTTCTTTAAAAATAAGAGAATATGAATAAGTTTAAAGATCATTTTAATGATAAATTGCCAAATCTATTTGAAAAACTAATTCGTATCATTAATTATCATAGTACAACAGAGAAGTTAGGATTAGAATAAGAAAAGTTTAAATGAAGATTAATTAAATAACAATATAAAATAATATTTATATTTATTTATAATGTACTATTAAATGTGGTATAAATGCACTCATTTTCCAACAAAACCTTTAAGGTAAGTTTCCTTTTAAGCTCTGATGACTTCTCTCTTATCTGTCTTTCTTGACATGTAAATCTTTGTTTTTTCAGAACCTCTGGTTTTCTTTAACTTAGACTTGACTTCTTTCCATCCTTTTCTGCTACCATCTCTCTTTGGAATGATACCTCTTCTTCTTAATCTGAATTTTGGTTCAAATTTAAGAAGATATCTATATAAATTGTAAACTCAATACTATTATGTATCGTAGATCAAAGCAAATCCAGTTGTTCTATTACCTCCAAATGTTGTTTTAAGACCATAGACTACAACATTTCTTTCATCTGCCTTGTATTTGCTTGCTAATTCCTTAACAACTGATTCTTATGAAGGAGTTGGCTTATTTGGATGAAGTAATTCAACACTCTAAAGTTAATTGATCACTTTACTAATTGTCTTCTGTTCAAAAGTTTGTTTAAGAGTACCTTCCTGGTTTTTACTATGAATGTCATCTTCTTGAATATTTCAAAATAAATTAAATCTTTTTTATTAAAATAACACACAACATGAATACCTCTCCATTATTACTTTTTTTAATTTAAATTTTAAGTATAATTATTTAATAATAGTATTCCAATAAATTATACTTTGTTTTTATCATCTTTTAATAAGAGTATATATATATATAAATATATAAAAGAAAAATTGTACAACTATATTTATATTTATTATGAAAATTAAATATACTTATATAAAAGCTGATTAATTAGTTATCAAATTAAGAGAATATTTTATTTACATCATCAATTCTAGAATAATTTTGAAAAGTAAATAAGATTATTAAAAATAATATATAAATTTAACTTTCTTATTAAGAATAAATATATCATTTATTATCAAAATATAAAGATGAGAATAAGATCATTTTTTATATGATTGTGTGTTTTTAGTATATATGATTTATATATAAGGGTTCATATATATGAAATTTCAAATATTGAATATCCTTTATTTTTACCATCCCAATAAACTAAATATTTCCCATCATATGTCACACATCCTTAAATATTCTCTCCATTTGATTTTAAAAATGATTATAATTATAAATTACTATCTAAGATATAGATACAAGATTTGATCTTGAAATATAATAATTTCTTCTAAATATTGTATTAAATTGGAAATAAACGTTCAGAATTACCTATAGTCGATAACTCAACATCCTTTCCAAAATTTTGTATTAATTCTCCTTTACAATCTTCAAACAATAGTACTTTATTATTATCACTACTTATTAAAACAAATTGTTCATTATTTATAAATTTAATTTAGGGTCCTTTTAAATCTAAATTTTATCTAACAAAGTATTTGAATTGAAAGGGATTTTCTTTACTTTTCGTTTTTTCCCATACTATAATTTAATCCCTGTTTTGTGGACAAGATACTGCACAAGATACTGCACAAGATACTAAAAAAGTTTCTGATTAATTTAGACTCAATGAATTAACTTATCGACTATGTTTCATAAGACTACATGTTTTGCTTAAATTATTATTTTGATTAAGCTGCCAAACTTAAATCGAATTATCAGAGCTTCCAAATATTATTAATTTCTCTGTTGAATCTGTTAGAATACAAGTCATATTAACTTATCCTAGGCTAATAGTTTCTAAACATTACCAATTATTAAATAATTTCCATAATTTTATAATCTAATCTGAACATGAAATTAAATAAGTATTCAAATTACTAATATATAAGATTTGCACAAATTTTTCATGACCTTATAAAGTTTAAACTAATTTAAGAACTCCTCTTTAAAATTCCCATATTTTTATCTAACTTTCAACAGTAGATACCATAATTGATCCTTGCTTATTAAAAACAACAGAATTACAAAATTCCTTTTATTCTACTAAATTCCCAATTTTATTTATAGATATTTTAGATTCTTGAATTTATATTTTCTTAGTTTATTAATTTCTGTTTTCTGAATAATTTTATTTAAAAATTTCATCTAATACTTTATGAAACTCCTAAAAATTGGGGAATTCTTTTAGTTTTTTGCTAATTTTTTCTTGAAATGCTATTATATTGGATTTTATTTGATCAATAAAGTTCTATTTATTAAATTCAATTTATTTTTTATTTGCAATTTATTCAACTTCTTCAAAAAAGCTATATTCGAAAAGCTTCTTTTACATATCTTAAGTTTAAACCTACCAAAATTACAAAGAGGATTATATTGAATCAATATTCTGCAAGACAGATTATTTTATAAATTAATACTTACATCTCAATTCTTCGATTTTTATTAAAACACTATTAATATGAATATATAGTTCTTCTCTATTGTTTCTTAATTTATTTTCAATCTTGAATTTGATTTCTTCTATTCCAATTACATTATTATCTTAGCATTATTAACTCATTGCACAGTATTCGCATAAAATTATTTATTCTTTCTATAAATTTGGACCAATATTTATTGCTTTCATTCGTCTTTTATGTTCAGAACAGGTCACTTTCTCCAAATTTTCAACCATACTATATTCTGCCATATATCAATCAAGTTGGATAATGCTTTATAAAATTTAATGATATAAAATATTATTGTTTTTAAAATGGGAAACTTATTTACTATAATATTTTGGAGTTCTATTTAAGTTTGAACAACTTTTAAAAATAATTTTAAATTAGTCATTTTCATTAAAATACTATTATTGTATGATTAAATTAGGAGAATTTCAAGATCAGGAAATATAGTTAATTTATGTGATAGTAAATTCTTTTAATTTATAGGTTGAATTGCAACTTGAATATAACATAGAGCCAACTGTAAAGGATCCTTTCAAAGATTTTTCATTTTTTTTCACCTAAGAGTAGGAATTAGAACAATATGGATAAAGTTTATAAAAGAGTGAGCTTCATGTCTATTAAATACTTCATTTTGTATTTAAAAAGATAAAAATTTATATTTTTACATATTTGTAGAACTTGAATTTTATTTCTCAAATTATTTTCAAATTTATGCAAACCAATCCTTCTTGGTAAGTAAAAATAGCAATTAAAAATTTTGAGCTTAAGAAAAAAGTTAACACTTATCAGAGAGAATCTAAAGAGTATAATAGAAATTCGTTTAACTATTTTTTATTTTGAAATTAGAATAAATATGGATTTTTTTTAATAAATTTTCTGGATTGCCTTTAAATAAAAGAACAATATTGGAAAGAATTTTATTTAGAATCAAATAAAGTTATCATTAATAATTACAATATATCTTTATAATCGAATGCTTTTTATTAAATCAAACAATCTAATGAAGTTTTTTATTTTCAATCACAAGCTTTAAAATATTCAGTTTTTTCCAAAAAAATATAGTATAAATTTTTACTCTATTTCTTTAAAAAAAAAGTGATAAATTAAATAATTTACTACAAACGATGAATTGCACCTATCATATACAAAGCCCAATAAGTATGATATGTATAGCTCCTCACAAGTGCTAATGCTAAAGGAAACTTTGTGTAAAATGCTGCTATGACCATGGAGTAGATTAAAAATATATAGTTTCGGCAGTGAAATTTCAAGACATGACTCAGAAGATATTAAAAGACTCCAAGCTTAATGATACATCTGAGTTAACCAAATAGAGAAAGCATTTTAAATCATTGTTCTCTTAAATCGAATAAATATTGAAAAAAATGTTGGAGGAGTTGTCTCTATCAATCAAATAAGTATTTGATTGGATTGAAAAAGAAAATTAATCATTCTTTTATCTCCTCTAAGAAAATTGTAATATAGCAGAAAGCTCCTCTACTGATTTAGAAAAATTAGTATAAATTGTAGAAGGAAGTTTATTAAATGATTGGTCAGTTTAGAGAAATTCATATTTTACTCGTTTGTAGAATATAAGTAGTTGGTGGGGTCAAGAGTTTCAGAATTTTAGTGAAAAAATTATAGAAAAGAGCAAAAAGTTGCTTCATAATAACTATGTTTATAGGAACTAACCATTGAAGCCAAATTAATAATTGGATGAGTATACCAATAAATTTATAGGAATCTTGTGGGATTATTCATATAACCAACCTTTATAATTAAAATTAAACCTACAAATTACCTTTACATAAAACAAAGAAATCTAATATATCAAAGATGGTTACAAGATAAGAATGTATAAATTAATTAATATTATTTTAGAGATAAAATAAAAGAAACAACAAGGAAACCTGAAATTTTAACCAATTTAGAATAAATCCAACACTTTTATTGGTCTGGTAATTATGGGCAAAAGAATCAGAAGATTGGCAATTGGTTAGCTACATGGAAAGGTGAAACAATTTAGGGTGTTGGCGGAAAGTACTCTGATGATGGACAAAAGTAAGGAAAATGGAGAGAAATAGTAAAAAATTATTGGAGGTTAATCAAATATATTTAAATTATTAGTCTAGGAAAAGTGTTTGAAGAAGGTGAATATGTAAAGGATTAAAGAATTGCGGTTTGGAAATATATTTATGAAAATAATGAAATGTATGTAGTAATTAATTAAATAAAAATAGAGGTGGAGGTGGCTATAATACAGAAGGATTGAAAATTGGAAAATGGATAGATTTGAGCGAGGGTTTTTGGCAATATTCATAATTAACTTAAAATGGCTAATATAGAAATGGTAAAAAGGTTGGTAGATGGGATATTTTTTATAGAGAATAAAGCAGTGATTCATTTAAATAAATGTAAAAATTTTATAATATAATCGATAAAATTGATTATTAGTGGTGGTGGATAATATGATGAAACAGGTAATGAACTTAAGATGGGTAATTGGATGGAAAAATCATATAATTTCTCGGATTCATCTTAAGTTATATATAAAGGGGAATATTAATATGGGAAAAAGATTGGTAGATGGGACATTTAGTGCAGAAAAAAAATCGATTAACCATTCAAAATAATGTAAAATATAATATCATCTAAATATAGTGGTGGAGGATTATATAATGAAAAAGGAGATGTAAAAATAGGTTATTGGGAGGAAATTTCAGATAAATTTCGGGACTTCTCTTAAATAATCTACAAAGGAGATTATATAAATGGATAAAAAATTGGAAGATGGAATATTGAGTATAGGAAAGACTTTGATGAACCATTCAAAAAAATGTAACTAAAATGATATAACATGATACAGTGGTGGTGGATAATATGATTAAACAGGTAATGAACTTAAGATGGGTAATTGGGCGGAAATTTCTGATAATTTCACGGATTCCTCTTAAGTTATATATAAAGGGGAATATTAATATGGGAAAAAGATTGGTAGATGGGACATTTAGTGCAGAAAAAAAATCGATTAACCATTCAAAATAATGTAAAATATAATATCATCTAAATATAGTGGTGGAGGATTATATGATGAAAAAGGAGATGTAAAAATAGGTTATTGGGAGGAAATTTCAGATAAATTTCGGGACTTCTCTTAAATAATCTACAAAGGGGATTATATAAATGGATAAAAAATTGGAAGATGGAATATTGAGTATAGGAAAGACTTTGATGATAATTTCTAAAATATGTAAAAAAAATATCATATATTAATTTAGTGGCGGTGGTTTATATATTAAAAGAAGTAATACTGCCAAAGTTTTTTATGATAAATAAATTCTTAATAATGAAATAGAAGACTGTAAGGATGAGAGTGATTATTGGGATTTCCTTAATGAAAAATTCTAAAAAATAGGTGAATAGTAAATTGATGTTGATAAATCATGTCAGTAAGTAGATGGTGGGGTCAAGTTTGGGAAATGGATTGAGCTGCATGATGGATTTATGAATAGTTCATAAGTCACTTTTCATGGTTAATATGAAAATGGTAGAAAAGTGAATAGATGGGATATAATTTTGAATAAGAATGGAAAATAGTAATCGATGTAATAAAATATATTTCTTTTAGTGGTGGAGGATTTTACGATTACAAAGAAGGAGAAGATTATAGTTTGGTTAAATTGGGAAACTGGATTGAGCTGGATGATGGATTTAATGAGTACCTAAATTAAGTATAATATTATAGTTTTTGCCAAATTACTTATCAAGGGGAATACTTAAAAAATAAAAAGGTTGGAAGATGGGATAGTTACTTTTAAGGCATTTAAATGTATATTGTTTATAAGTAATAAAAATAAATTAGAGGTGGAGGATTATATAATGAAAATGGTTAAAAACATGGTAAATGGACATTACTGAGCGATAACTTTTTTATGTAAGTTTTTTGTTAAATATTGAGTTATAACCTAATTACATACATAGGATCATTTTAAGATGGAGAAAAAGTTGGATAATGGGATACTATGAAAATATAGATTTAAGATGACAATTTAATATTTGAGAAAATGTATAAAATACTTATAATAAATTAGTGGATAAAAAATATATTGAATAAATAAAAATAAATGAAATATTCAATATGTATAAGCAAATTTTAGCAATTATTATTAATAATCATATAGAAAAGTTATTCTGCAATTCAGAATAAAAGGAGTAAATTATTGAAGAAATAAAAACCATATATAATGATAAATATTTTGAACATATTATGAAATTCTACTTCGGTATATTGTTATTCTTTTCTTAATTTAATCTCCATTCCCAAAACTTGATGAGGCTTACATAAAGTTTTCTAATGACATATACTTTTTTGACTCAAAATCTTTAAGAAGAGGATCGCTTTCTAAATGTTCACTTCTTATTCATTTATCTTGGAATAATTTTTAGTTTTATTCATCCTATCCTTAATTTATTTATATTTATCAATTTCTCTAAGGATAGCTTCCATAGTTTTTGGGCAAGTTTTAATTAATCATAACGCCAAGTTATAGTCCCCTCTTTTCAATACCTGTTAGTAATTGATTCTATTTTTAATAATTTTGGTTTCATTCTCACCAATCCCAATATTTCTTCCTATTTATGATGATGATATTAAATAAGAAATTTTCTGAAATAATTCATTAGTTTAATTGTTGAGTGATTTGATTCTTATGGCTGATATCAAATTATGATATTTTCTATAGAAACCAAAAGTCACAAAAGCTTCAACCATTTTTTATTTTGATTCTTTCTTCCTTTTTAAACAAGAGATTTATATTTCATCCATTTTGATAGAAACTTTCTCAAGGCAATTTAAATCATTAGCCAATCACCCAATTAATTATGATTTATAAAATTCAGATAAAATATATTTATTTATATAAATATTATTTTTAATTTTGAATGAGTAATGAGGATTAAAGTATCGAAGTACTTTAAAATAAATACGTAGTAAATTTAAACCAAATGCTTGGATAAGTAAAATTGAATAAATACATATATTGAAGGGAAGTTTTGCATCTGTTTATAAAGGGCATATGTTTGATAATAAGAATGAATTAATTGCAATTAAGATTATTGATAAGAAGAAATTTTAAAACAAAAAGAATCGAAAGAATTTTATATACGATTATATAAATAGAGAGAAGGTTAATTAATAGTAATTATCAAGTCCTAATGTCGTAAAGTATTGTTATTTTTTATAATTAGAATGATAGATGTAATTGAGGATGATGATAATTGTTGTTTTATATTAGAGTTTTGTGAAGGAGGAAATCTTCAAAAAAAATTAGAAAAAGGGCTACTTCCATAAGAGGAGGCACTATAAATTTTTAAATAAGTTGTAAATGGATATAAAGAATTAAGAGATAAAAATATAATTCATAGAGATCTAAAACCAGAAAATATTCTATTTTCAAAAAAAATTGCTAAAATAGGAGATTTTGGGTTTTCTAAATTTTTAGATGATCTTGATTAAACTATACTTCAATCAGGAGTTGGAACTCCTTATTATGCAGCACCAGAAATTAGGACTGGTCATTTTTCATCTAAAGCAGATATTTGGTCTTTAGGATTAATATTTTATTAGATGATATATGGTTCACTTCCAGTAGAGATATTGAAATAAGTAAATTATAAAGAATAAAAAATTGATGTTATTAAATGTCCAGAAAATAAGAGAGTTCCTGGAGATATTATAGATTTATTGAAGAAAATGCTTGTTGTGAATCCTGATAAAAGAATGTTTTGGGATGAATTATTTGCAGAAAATCTATTACAATTAATAATACCTTAAAATAATGAAAGTTTAGATTAAATAAGTGAATAGAAAGCTATTATAATGAAATAAACACTTTAAAATGAAAATAAGGTGGAAACTATTTATTAATATTTCATTTATATTTTAGATATTTTATAGTTCATCAGATAGATAATCAAAGATATATAATAACTTCATGGTGCTGTAATGTTTTCTAGGGAGTAATAATTAAGTTTTTTGATAATTACTATAAAGTACATGGTGAATGAATTGAAATTCTATTAAGGAATCCTTAAAGGATAGGTAAATTCTAATAATGTTTATATTAGAGTTTGTTCTCAATATAAATTCTTCCTTCTGATTTTGAGTTATTTAAGAAAAGTGATAAATATTATACAACACTTCAAAATTATAAGAATAATTATGAGAATTTGGAATAATTTTATAATTAAACTAAAGAGAAATTTGATAAGTTCTTAATTTCTGAATAGAAGAATGGAAATTAAAATAAGGTAAATATAAATTTATTTAAAATAGTTTAATAATATAATTGAAGTACTTAAATAAGATGACAATGATCAAAAATTTTGTTAAACATACAATGAAATTTAAAGTTAAATATTGATTCACATTTTATCACATTATAAGAATAAGCCAATTACATAAGAAGAAAAGTCTAAACTATTGAAAATGTTAATTAGATTATTATATTGTTTTTAACCACTTTTATTAAGTCATCATAAATTTGATCCATTTAAAATTGAAGAGAAATTACTAACATCATCATCATGTTTAGAAAAAGAGTTTAATGATCTTTATAAAAAATTATTTAATAAATGAAATATAAATTCATTGTTTATAATTAAATAAATAAATAATTGATTGATATGGAATAGGACAGCGTTTCTATTTTATGTGAATAAAAGGAAAGAAAAATAAAGTAAATGCAAATGATCTACATAGAGTAATCTTGATTGGAGATCAATCTGTAGGTAAAAGTAAATTAATGGAGTGTCTTCTTAATATTGAATCTAAAGTTAACGATAAATAAATTTAATCTGTAGATTTCTTTATTTCAAGAATTATGTTACCTAATAAGATTACATAAAAGATTCATGTTTGGATTACTTCTGGAGAAATAAAGAATATGTTATTATATTGATTTGATCTATAGTGCCATGATTAGAGCATTTCTACTCTAAAGCAACATTTACATTATAGCATTCTCTTTAAATAACATGGTGACCTTAGAAAATGCATTGAATACATGGTTTTAGTTATGTGTGAAAAATGCTAAATAAACAAATGCATATTATTATTTCTTAGGAACTATGGGAGATTTAGAGAGAAAATGTCCAAAATACAATGAAATAATTAATTAGATAAATGAAAAATGTTCAGAATATAAAGTAGCAGTCTTTGGATCAAAAAATGCACATCCAATAAGTGGAATTCGTTAATCTGAAAAATGGAATGATGATCATATTATAGAATTTGCAACTAAACGACTTCCATAAAATGTCTATTATTCTGAATGTTCAGCAACTGAAAATTTAGGAATGGATCGAAGCATGAGTATATTTACTAAATTGATAATGTCTGCAATGGATATTTAGGATAAATTAAATGGAATAGTAAAGGTTACTGAATAACCAACTATAACATAACCTTAATTATAATCTACTTAAGATAAGAGACCTTCTGCAAAAATTGAAATTCGATAATAACCTTAAGAACAGTAAGAAAAGATGTGTTGCATAATATTTTGAAAAATAAATTAAATAATATAATCAATTATTTAAAATTAAATTCCATTTATTATGCTTCCTTATTAACTTTATATTAATAATAAATTATAGTTTGATTTTATTAAATTTCCTTTAGATATAAAGTAATTATCAATATTGAATATAACATTTTAATTACAATTTCTTAATCGTTGCTTTTAGATAATAAAAAATAAATCAAAATAGTAATTATATATTGTAATAATATTTAAAAGGAATAACTTATTAATGGATTCAATTTATAATAATTAAATCATTAATCTTATTTTAATTTGAACCTTAACCTAAATAAGAATTACTTATTTTCTAATATTTGTAATCTATTTTTCAGTTTGAATGTACATTAATATAAAATGCACTGTATAAATTTGATTAATAATATAATAATAAGTATTAATATTATTGGATTTTTCATTTTAATCTTTTTATACACAATTTATAATACTTTTCTGAAATTGACATTTAATGCATTTTCTAATAATTGATAGATCTTACCTCAGAAAATGAATATACTTATATATAAATTAGAGAATAATAATTTATTAAAGTAATTTTATTGTTTACAAAGAATTTTTAATCAAATTTGTAATAATCATAAAAAAGTGAAATAGTATTACCATTTTGATTATTAATTCCAAACTAGTTTATACTTTGCAGCAATCAAATTGTTTTATATACAATAAATAAAAATATTTATAGATTCCTAAATAAATGATGAATGTATATTAAGTTCTCATAAACAGTTATTATTATATATGAAATAATAAATTACACCAAAATAAAAAATAACTACTCAATTACCTCTATTGCCAGAAATAAAGAGATAATCTAAAGATTCATTGGAGACTCCTCTGTATAATTTGAGTATGAATATATAGGAAATTGATGAAGCAAGCTATTTAGAATCCTTTATCATAGTCTCATCTCTCAAGACAATCTTGTAGCATAGAAACTATAATTTCATAAGAATAATAAAGGTTGTAGTCTTAAACAAAGAAGTAAATTGTTGAACCATTGGTGAAGAATACGGCTTACTTTAATAATCGTTCTTTAATGAATGATTATTTAAAAAGATAGAATATAACAATAGCAACTAAAATGTTTTGTTTTAATTCATAAGATGAATATGTTAGAAGATGTTTATAAAGACATGGTTGGCTTGAAATATCTTGTAATTAATAAATTTTTGATCTTAAATGGGTTTATACTGAGAATCCTGATGATTATAAAATATTATAGGATGGATAATTTTACAATCATTTTAGTAACACCAAAGAACTTACAACAAAATCATGTTTATTATCAAATTTCAAGAATTAATGTGAATATGGATATGATACAAGTACATTCTTTCCAAGGGCTTTTGATTTAGGAAATATAACAGATAGAGAGGATTTCATTAAAGAATATGAAAGAACAGCTGTTACTATAATATTAAAAAAGGCAATAATAGCATTAAAATTAAAGAGGAAAAATGAGATGAAGAAGATAAAAGAAGTAATATTTTAGGAATGGAAAAAGAAGGAAGAACACTTAAAGATTAGAAGAATTGAAATGAAAAGAACTGTAATAAGGAAATACAAAAATATTTATACAGCATAAGAATTATAAGATTCATCTTAAGCATCTGATATTAAATTTGATTGTTCTATTATGTCTGAAGTGTTATCTAGACTTTCAGATATGAAAAGATAAATGAAGGATGGATTTTATGATGATAAGAATTTTGAATTGAGTCATCAATACATATCAAAAACTAGAATTAAGTAATATATATAAATAATTTAGTATAATTATATATTCACAGATTTAGAAATTTGATAAAGGTTAAAATCCAAGCAAATTTTTAATTAGAAAATTATATAGATATCATTTGTTTTTTAAAAAATATGATTCAGCTTATAAGGTTGATGGGGTTAATAATATTTGGATTATTAAACCAGGAGGATGTGCAAGAGGATAAGGAATTTATTTAGAGAAGGATATTAAAGAAGCAATTAATAGTGGTTAATAAATGTAAGCTAGATTAGTGTAAAAGTATATAGAAAGACCATTATTATATAAGGGATTTAAGTTTGATTTGAGATAATGGGTTTTAGTAAAGAGTTTTTAACCATTATAAGCATATGTTTTTAGTCATTGCTATATGAGAATGTGTAGTTAAACATATGATATAAAAGATACAAAGAATTTATTAAAGCATTTGACAAATTTCTCTTTAAATAAATCAGAATTTAAGAA